ATTTCTCTAGTTTTTTTTTTGTTACATTATTTTCCACATACAGGTGACAAATTAAAGCAAAAACCAATATAAAGTGTCTCAGTAAGGTGTTGGGCCAGGTTCAATGAGCCTTGGCATTGGCACTCCAAGGCTCTGGACTCTACTGGAGGGATGAACACCATTCTTCCAAAGGTTATTGCCTCATGTGGTGTTTTGATGATGTTGGTGGAGACACTAACACGTTGCTCCAGAATCTCCCAGGTGTTTAATTGGGTCAAGATCCGATGACTGTGAAGACCATAGCATATGATTCACATCATTTTAATACTCAAACCATGTGCCTTATGGATGGGGTCATCGTCATCCTGGAAGAGTCCTCTCCCATTGGGATATTAATGCTTCACCACAGGATAAAGGTGACTGTTCAGAACACCTCTGTATTGATTTTCTCTAAATCCATCTTTCTACTTCCACCAGAAACCATCCCGTACTCAGGCCGGCAAACATAGATTCAACAGAGTATTGTACTGGCTTCCTTTTATTTCTTCATAACGCACTGCCATTTCCTTCTTTCTTCTTTATATTTTTGAATAAAGCGGGCGGGTCTCCTTCTTCAGCTGAGACACTTCCTTTGGCTCAAGTTGTCTCTCTGCCAATCAGAAAGTAGTGATGTAGACTGGGGCCAGAGTAGCTCTCTTTGGGACTTGCTTCTGAGCAGGGCCATACATCACGCTTTTCAGCACAGTTTCAGTCCAGGCACTGTCCATTTCTGAGACAACTGAAACAACAATAGTTAATGGAATGGTTCCTGGTGGCAGTGGAAAGACTGCATAAGGCGACAAATGGACCCAAACCATCTGCATTCATTATGTTTCTGCACTCATTCATTCAGGTTTTTCCTTTAATTTGTCGCTGTCTGTATGTAGTATCAGGCAGACAAACACTACTCCATTTATAGCTAGATAAAAGAAAACACCAGTCAGCTCAATCCATTAGGACCTTTTTATAGAACCAGAACCTTATACACTCTATCAAATCTTTCCACCTATATACAGTTACATACTATACACACCTAGTTTTTTGGCACAAAGTGTTCAGCCGTGCAAGTGTGTCTGTGCTCCACCTGTGAACTCATTACATTCTAATCCTTGCCAAGGTACACAGTACATCACATCTGTTGTTCTGGGCCAGACACCTGGGACTGATCTAACAATCTATCATGCAATCCTTAATCCCCAAAAGGACACCAAGCTGAGTTTTCAAATAAGCTGATTTCTTCTGTCTGACTAGCAATTAGTGCACTGGCTGCGATGAGGTTTTTAGCCTGAAAGGATAAGTAAAATCCAGCAGCATAAAAAGAAGACAGCTATGTAAAACAAATGTATGTTTAAGTAAAAAAAATGATGCAGTCTCATTCTAAACCGCAAAGCCTGTTTTGTGTGAGTGAAGCAAGGAGCTATAGGGCTGTATTTGTGTCTGTATACACACAGATCTAATGCCAGAACAGCCCAAAGGAAGTAGCAGGCCTAATCTTTGTAGATGAGCATGCATGGGCTCAGCCTGTGCAATCGCCCACACTGGTAATGCTGCAGGACAATTAAGTTCCAGCAAGAGGCCCTGTCTACAATTTCCAAAATGTTGTCTGCTTCTCTTCCATCCCCCATCTTGTTTTCCATCATTACCATCCATCCTTGTAGACTGAGGACAGGAGTAAAGGTGCTATGTGTGATATGTATATAATGTGAGTATCTGTCTGCATGTATGTGTTTCCTAAAGTGGGGAGGAGGGATTGACAGAGAGCGCTGGGATCAGAACAGAGTCCACTGCAAGCAGCATGCAGCAAAGAGAAGTGCAAGGCTCCAAGATTGTGCCCAGTTGGCAGATGATGGGCTCCCTATCACCTTCACTGACGGGGGCTTGGAAGGGTCGTCCTGTGGGCTGTTACCTCCAGGTTGTCTTCCAAAGGGATTACCTACACTGGAGCCATCGCTACCTGCTGTAAGAGACAGAAACAGCAAAATAGAGAAAGACGGGAAGAGACAAATAAATGATTTGGAACAGTAATCATGATAAGTAGCTTTAATGTTCAGAGCAGCTACCTGTAAAATTGGATATTAGGGGCTCATCATCATCCAATCAACATTGCCATCACCTCATTCCAAGGATTTTCAAAAAAATAGTCAGACATAAAAATGATGAACGATTATGTTTGCTACAAATAAAGTGAATTCATATGTACATCAGAAGTAGAACAGCTGTGGCCGTTTCAATCGAACGCACCCATAATTTATTTTGTAGAAAACTTTAAAAATGGTAAATGCATTTATAATGCCAACTCACTTTTAAATCTTTACACACATTAAATGCAGTACTGTAAATAGACAGTTTTGTTTTTCAGCCCTAGAGGGCCACAGTAAAATAAAGAGTGAACTCCTACTGCTATCTGTGCGCACACACACACACACACGATGGAGGAATGACTGTTCTAATCTCCAGCAGCAGATGACAGACAGCCCTCACTGTGCCATTACAGCCAATAAATCAGGCTGATGAAGGCAAGTCAGACATTAAGCATCCATTTTATCACGTCCTCGCAAATTTTTTTTGACATCAGTTAAATCACTACTATTTTAAAAGAGGACTCCTCCTCAGGTCTCTACCCCTTGCTGTTCTTCCAGTCTTTCTTTAACTTGATCACTCTGATTCTCACACAGTATCACCACCCTGGCTCTGAAAGTACCTCTTTCCACTGGTCATCTCACTTCCTTCTGAGTGGTAGCAAAGTGTTGGTGTCTCTACAACCAAAAGGAAATTAAACCCTTCTGCTCATTACCCATGGGCACTAACTGAAGCCAAACCTACCCAGCCCAAATCCATACATCGGTAGATTCGAGACTTAGATCACCATCCTCCACACAGAAAATGCACCATACACTCGCAATTAGATTGCTGGCAATCACTAAGACCTGAGTGCTGATCCCAAAGAAGAGAGAAACAAATAGAGATAGGTGGGGGGACAGAATGACTGCGTGTGTTGTGATGAGAGTAAACTAGTTATCAGAGTATTGACAGTACCAAAGCCTAGTGTCATGTCACTTTCACAAAAACAGGCCAAGTTTGCAATGATTCCCACCAGTGTCTGTATATACCAATCTGTCTAGAGTTCAGTTGTCTTATTAAACACAGTTACAATTGCTCGTGTGTAGCAACTTCGCTGTCGGACAACTTGACAGCCAGGTGTGTGATGAATTAGCAGATGTCACACCCACATAAAACCCAAAAAATGATAGCACAGTGTGCTATACTTTTGCATACCAAACTAAATTACTTATTCAGTGACATTAAATAACTGAATTTATTGCACCTTTTAAGCTTCCATCTATTCCTTTTACATCTGCCATGGTCAAATGTATAATTCTAAGAATGCATTCTTTTGAGGAACTGAGAATGCATATGAACCTATCCCTATTGTGCACTTGGATTTGTTTTGCATGCATGTGTGAATAGGGCAGGGCTCCAAAGAGAGAAAAGTTTCCCATGCCAATGATTTTTGTTGTTCCAGCAGACAATAGACAAAGACATCATTTATCCCAAATCAGATTGCTGTTATTGTTTCAATGGAAATGGGCTGCATCTCATCAGGGAGATGTTAGAAAATGGCATTTGAATGGGCCAAAACAACACTAATACTCCTCTGCTGCAGGCCAACCAACTGACTAATTATAGAGATGGTCCTTCCCAGAACAATGAATTATAGCATAGACAACAGTTCTGGAATGCATTGTGAACTTTTAAATAAAATAAAATGAAATTCCAAGACTAATCATTTAACCAGGTCTATTTTTGAGCAAAGCCAGACTAGGCGATTACCTAGAGTGGCACCAGCTGGGAGGGGCATAAAGGGAAGAAATGAGAACAATACATAAAACAAAGATCACACCACACTACACTTGCCTTACAGTAGAATTCTTGTTCCTGTGCTTCTCTGACTTGGAGCCAAATAAGTGGCCAAAACATTAATACTCTAGTAGATCAGGTTGAAATATTCTTTAACTCTGAGAATATTTATGCCACTGTGTTTGATTAAGTGTTCCCTGTCAGTCCTTTTGTTCTGAATAACTTGTAAAATGTACATTAGTAACAGTTTTCAACTTGAAGAACCGATGTGTGATTTAAGTGTTTGCTTAATTTTTTTGAGCACTGTAGAATCTGAAGTTGTTGTTATAATGAGACTATGTTGGCAGATAAGCTGGCTTGTGTAAATCCCCCAAATATGGTGAGGAATGAGGGAGAACAGCAAGACAGAAAAACAGAGGGTAGGAGTGAGTGAAATATGACATAAAGGGTTAGTAAAGAAAAAGCCGTTCAGCTTCTCAGTGTGAGGAGGATGAATATCCGTCATTACTTCTATGGAGGCAGGTGGAATCGATCACCTCAGGCAACTTCAAGGCTACACAATAGCACATCAACATGCTTCACCTATTATAACAACACTCAGTGACATACTGTATGTTCTCTACCAGTAGACAAATGTGTTTCAATGGGTAAAAAGCTTTAAAATAGGCAACAAATGGAGAGAATGACAGAAAAGCAAGAACAGGAAACCCAAGAAACAAATTGAACTGGAGTGCTAAGAGATCGACACAGCAGCACAGACATGCTGGGAAGAAGTTTATAAATATGTATATATGGGAAGTAGATGTTCACCAACTATAGGCATCAAGTGGGAGGACAAGGAGATGGCAGAAAAAGAATCATCATGCTGGAAGAACACAAAGGCAATGTTGTGATGGGACCCATAAGCTAGGGAGTATGATGTCAGCTAGAGTTGGCAGGAGCTCTGTAGACCTCATAGATCAGGGCAAGGTTCTAAAACCATTCCTAATACTTTGAATTTTCAGGAGCACAGTGGCCTCAGTAATTGAAGGAAGCAGTTTGGATGCTTTCTAGAGTCTGGCTGAAACCTAATGTAATCTACTGTTGAGCAATGTAACTTAACCCTAAACAGAAGTTATATGTGTAAGTAGAAGACTTTGACCTTTTTATCACGGGAGTGGTTTGATTTACACCACATTTAGGGAATGTGGTGGAAAAGGGTGGAGGTCAGTAACTCCTCCTATTTTTTATTCTCACTATCTTCTTCTCTCTAGGCTCATACCCCTGCCTCGACCTTGCTGATCTTCTCTTTGCTAAGGAAAGAGAAAGAGACTGATGCATGGGGTTGTAAAGCACCTCAGTCCCAGGGTTTGACAAGGCCACTGGATCTACCTCACAGTGATGTTTTATTGAGAAGGTGACCTTTGACACATTTTTACCACCAACACAGGCAGACACATAAATGTAGGCATGCACACAGGCGCAAAGATTTATGCACGCTCGTAGTGCATGCACACACCCTAGACAGGCTGTCTTGATTAGTAGAGATACAAAATAAATGAGATTAGCTAGTCACATCTCTCTATAGTGTATGCTTGGTTTTGCCCTAAGTCCAGGACTTAGGGCAAAACAAAGACAGAGACAGCACTAGTACAGTTTATCCAAATGTTCCTATCTTTTCTTTGTGACAGATCTGCCAATCAGCTGAATAATGACACTGCTGATTGGCTAGATCAATCCATATTTGCTGTAAAACAAAATCTTTATGCAACTGCCAATATTATATGTCTGCTTTCAAAAGCAGCAAAGTCAGTAAAATGATTTGTATCTGTTTCTGCCTTTAATAAAGACACAGCATTCTCATTTGATCCAACCTGATGTGTGACCTTTGCCAGATACACATGTATTTGCTACCTGCCATCTATACCTTTGAGAGCAAGAGGCGCTATATTTCCCATATAAAGAGAGGAGACAAATGAGGCACACTGCTCCCTTTTAGTAAAAGCAAATATGCCAAAGATGTTTTAAAAAGTTTAACGTCCTTTGGGGCTCAACAAAAAGATACAATATGATACAATGAGGAAGCCTTACTATAAGTAACCTCTTAACAGCACACATCCATTCACACAACACATCTTGATTGCACATACATCAGATGGTATATTATGGCATACTGGTGTGGTGATTCTTTTTCTATTCTTGGCTAAAGCCATTATTACTAGGAGACAGAGCTATTAGTCTGCCTGCGATCAGACTTGTGGACACCAATAAAAGACAGATGCTGCTCTTGGTCGCTATGGATCACAAGTGTCCTGACACTGTTTGGTATAACAGGAGAATGATAATACCCAGTGTTTCTAAGGCCTCTCTTCCACAGTCTCAGACAGACATGTACCTTCCCAAGTACTTGCACAATGTTTCCTTATCTCTTTTTACATGCACACTCTTACAAAGAAGGGTAAGAGAAATGGGAAGGATGTGTTCACACAGTTCATTACTGACCATCCATCTTTGCACTTTTTTTTGTCCACGACTCACTCTTTATGTGATGCCATGTCAGGCAGGGGCTCCTCACCTCATTAAACTAATCTCCTCATTCTAAGTAATAAGCTGAATTTGCATGCACACGCACTCACACACATACACACACATCCTCACTTCTTTGGGAACTGCCCCACTGGCTCACAGATGATCTGTATAGGAAATCCAGGACTGGTACAAGGTCTCTGGCAAGCTACTGAAAGGGCTAAAGAGCCAAAAATACAGGGGTACCAGTGGGGTACACATCGTAGCCTACAGCTAACCTAGCAACAGGCAACAGCATGGCAACTCCAGAGCAGGGATCAGAGTAATGGAATTTGCTCAGTGTGATTCTTGGCTGTACTAGACTATTAAACGTCTTGGCAAGATTAGGATTTACTCCTCTATACACACACACACAGAAACAAATAGGCAAAAGGGGCCCTGGGAGGACAGTGACCTCCACCAGTCAATGTGACAGAGTCTTAAGATTGAGAGGAAACCTTAGGTGAAAGCAACTCTATACAAGACAGGAGTTAAAGGCCTAGAACAACTTCTCAATCTCACAGAGGCACATGGACCGCATTCCCCACCAGGACA